ATATGGAACAGAAATTTGCTTCCATTACAGCAGTTTTAAGTGTGATTAGGTCTAATCAAAACAAAACACTGCGAGGAGTATGGCGTGTAGTGGATGCGAAGGACTATCTTGTAGCAATAGAGGTGTCTTTTTGTCCTTATACGGTGACACCGAGTAGTCGAACTCAAAATATTTGTTTTTGTTAATAAGAATCATTTTTATTGTGGACTCATTGATTGACGTCATGCCCATATTGTATGATCAAAAATTACAGTTGCTCCTGGAATGTTTATTGGTTTCCCCTTGTCAGTGATGCAGGACGGAGGGCCTGGCCAGTACAGCAGTCTAGTCATTCGGATGAGACGAAAAAACGAGGTCCCGTTTACACATTGGCGTGCACGTAAAAGATCCCTTGACCGTAATGCCGCTGTCCGGGCAAAACTTCCCTCATAGCACACTGTATGGCGTATGCCCGTCTTCATATGCCCAGTTTGGAGCAAAACAGTAGGACGTTAAACCCAATTTCATTTTATTTCATTTCTATATAGTAAATATATTAAAAATGATGGTGTTCAGTTTGGTGTTTCTTACAATTTGATAATGCATTTAAGAATAACTTAAATATGCATTTTACAAGCACCATTCATATTGCGGTCCGATACCAAAACTCAATCGGCGCTAAAAAAAAATTGGCCAAGGTGGATTGCGGTGGATCTTTTCCCTGGAATGCTATGTAAATACCACCTCACAAAAAAAACCCAAAATCATTTGTTTCCGATTTTCTTCCCCAGGTTCAAGGGCCTCTTACCAGTTATTGAAAATTACTAAGAAATCCTATTTAGGCAATATAAAGAAATTGATGTCTAAATTTATCGAAAGTCAAAGTACATGTCTCAGCGAAAACGAACAAGATTATCTGAATAACTTTGAGCCAAGAACGGCATATTTTTTACAAATACAGAATGAAATAAAGAATAACAGATCAGCTCTAATTTATATATATAGAAAACCCTACAGATTTAAAATTTAGATCAATTGTGGGAGTTTCTCACAGCCTTACACAATGCTCAGTAATTTCTTTGATATCCTATTTAGTCAACATGTATAATTTATAATATTAGAGAAGACAGGTATAGTATTTGAGTCTATATTCTTGTTCACTTATTGAAATCAAAGCGGCACGTTTAAGATCACTGGCGCGTGTATATTAAGTAGTGAAATATGCAAGTCACGTTAAAAGTTACTTTATATTTTGTATTATGAAGGCTTCTATTTGGTTAAGTAATTTTTTATATTATGTAACAGTGGGTTAAATTACTGTTATTATCAAATTGTGTCGTTTACTCATGTCAATACGTTCAACGTTCTTAATAATTCATTTGAAGCCATCTTGTGATTAGGGGGGAGAGAGAGAGAGAGAGAGAGAGAGAGCGAGAAATAGGGTTTAACGTCCACTCGACACAAACTAACTTATGGTTCAATTTTATTTCAATAATTCGCTTGAGCGTAGGGGTCTTTAGTATAGTAGTGGGATGAAACCGGAGGACCCGGAGAAAACCCACGAGGTTAGACAAGCGACCCTACTCATTCATTTGAATTCGGGACTAAGATATGCATCAATTTTATTTCAGTAATACGCTTGCGCGTATGGGTCTTTAGCAGTTGGAGGACCCGGAGGAAACCCACGAGGTTGGACAGGCGACCCTACTCCTTGTCACGTACAACCAGGGAATCGAAACCACACCAGTTGGCTTAATGATAGGTCCCACCCCACCCTTCCCCTTGTGATTAGGAAGACGATGTATAATAATTTTTCATAAGAAAAAAATCTCTGTATATGTAGTATCCTAGAAGCTGTAATAGCCCAAAGGGAATATCTAGATCCGAATAATTAAAGATGCATTATGTAAGATTTAGATAAAGGGCTGATGGATCGCGCTATAACAACGGCCGATATGACTGAGGAGAAAATAAGGCCCTGATGTTTGTCTATGTTGTAACCACTACCTCATATGTTGACATTCTTTAAATCAGCGTAGCAACCACAGTACCTTTATGATGAAAATCAGTTTAAAAAAAGGCTACAAAACATTTGCTTGATCTGTATATTAAAACTGTATTCACGTTGATGTTAGTGTATGTTTCGGGGATTTGGTCGATAGGTTTAACGCGTGCGCATTTTATCATAAGGTCTTTCATTGAATCAAGTGCCGTGTTTTCGATTCCCAGCTTGTAGGATCGCCTGTGCAGCCTTGTTGATTTTCCCAGGGTACTCCAGTTTCCTTCCACTGATAAAGACCCATACGCGGCAGCGAATTATTGAAATAAAATTGAACCATCTGTTAGTCCAAAAATGATATAGTTTGTGTCGAGTTGACGGTAAATCCCCCCTCTCTCTCTCTCTCCCATGTTTTATTTCTAAATACTCAATTAATGAACGATAAATTATCTTATATGTAATAAAATGTAGAATTATTAGAAAATCTCGTCTGTTGGGGTGGATTGGTCATAAATGAATTATCGTACTATTCATCACAATTTCTAATCATACAGTCCAGTTGTAGCCCATTGCTTCCCTGTATCTCCACCAATTCATGTACGATCGACATAAAACTTGTCATGCTCGTCTTCATTAGCCCAGGTTAGGAGCAGAACAGTAGGACGTTAAACTCCATTTCATTTCATTTCATTTCATTGTCATGCTTGTTCCTTGGACAACTGCGCATCGACGTCACAATTTGAACGTATTTATAATTTTTTTTAGGTTGAAGATGCAATATGATTTTCTCTCATTTGTCCAAAGTTATAATTTTAACGACTGTAATACACACTATATTAGGTAAGTATATGTATAGTATCACTATATTAGGTAAGTATGTGTATAGCATCACTATATTAGGTAAGTATATATATATATAGCATCACTATATTAGGTAAGTATATGTATAGCATCACTATATTAGGTAAGTATATGTATAGCATCACCGTATTATTAGGTAAGTATATGTATAGCATCACTAAATTAGGTAAGTATATGTATTGCAACACTATATTAGGTAAGTATGTAGCATCACGATATTAGGTAAGTATATGTATAGAATCATTGTATTAGGTAAGTATATGTATAGCATCACTATATTAGGTAAGTATATGTATTGAAAGATAGGCTCTATAATAGTTTGATATAAGTCTTATCAAAATCCAAGTTAATAACAACCATTTATTTATCATTGATTACAGTGTTTACATCATTAGATAGATACAGTAGAATCTGTACGAGCAGCCACTCCTACTCAACGCTACATCTCCTTGTAAGCGGTCACGATAAATTCTCCTAGAAGAAATTCTTTGGTTTAACCTCTTTCATAAACGATAACCCCTTTAACTCGCGCAGCGGTCACCATTTTAGTCATAATATAACGAGGCACCGCCTGTTCATCGGTCATTGTTGACATCACCCCATAGTTTCCCATTCGCGAATCCTGTGATTAACAATTAATTACCCCACCGTTGCATAAATGTTTGCTGAGGATACATCGATGCGTAAAAGTTTCCTTGATATCAGCACTGACAAACACTGAGACTCATATTAAGCAGTCAAAATTCGCTTGGGTGGCTGCTGAATACAAATTCTAGAGATATTAATACATCCCTAAAAAATTACATAATTTATTCACACTTTTGTTAACAGCATTAGATGTGTGTAGAGATGCAATCAACAGCAACTGTCAATCATGTGATACCACCAATTATCCTATAGATGATGCAAATAGACAGACCTGTATGAGGTCATGTGGTGTTTGTTCAGGTATTATTTTTTGTTTTCTTTAAAGATACTTTATGTAAGATTTAGATAACGAGCTGGCAGTTCTCTGTATAATAATAATTTAAAAATATGAAAATTACTTTAGAGCGACATAATAGCCGTTTGAAGTTTTGGCAAGATTTGTGTATTGATTGTTTATTAGCGTAACAACGGTACTTGTTATTCGAGACTTAGCCTCGCTTCTCCATTTTTAACCCTTTGAACCCTGAAAATATTTTGGATGACACATACCCTACCCTGACTTTACAGCAATATTTTGCAAAAATGACGTCATTTTAATTGAAATGTTAGGTGTGAATTTAATATTATATAAATTAATTATAATTGTGTGAAATGATGGAATAAAGATATTTAATCAGAAAATTTAATTTAGTTTATCTTCGATCCATAACGTAGGAGTGCCAATCACACCAACAGTTTTGAACTCTGCTAATATCGCGACCATGCCCTATTCCAATATTTTTATCACCGACCATGTGGATCAACATTTTTACAGATTGATTGCAAGTACGAGTGTTATCATCCCCGTAATTTTCTTTGTTATTTTCGTCTGAATCTAAGGCATATTCACTTTCAAAATCGCTTCCATTGCCGTAATTCGACCCATAAATATCTTCGCCATAAGATCTAATGCATCCATTGCATCTAGTCATCTAAAACACACAATTCGTCAAAATATTTGACAAAATTGAAATGTAAAGAAGTAGAAGGAAGTCGTTATTTACAACAGACCCGGGGCAAACGCTAAACGGCCACAAAACCGACATTTCGGGTAATGCACTACAACGTCAACGCCGGTTTTGCAACATTTCGGCTTCTAAGAGTAAAGTTAATTAATTAAATAGCGACCTTATAAGTATTGTTTAAACTAGGGGGTCCAGGTGATCGTTATGTAATATAATTGTGATTCCAGCGATAAAAGTATCACATTGGTCTGATTTTGGGCTATTGGCGCCCCCCCCCCCCTATTCCCACGGCATTACCGAAACCCGTATGAAACTATTTTGCATATAAATAGGCTAGCCAGTTAAGATAGGATTTGTGCGTTTTACTAACTGTGTGGCTTGGAGACGGAGGTTTGATAATAATAAAACTGTAAGAAGAATACTGGCTGCACTTTTGATTTGACTGGTAAATATATATTGCTTTATTCAAAATAAGACACGTAGATATTCATTATAATAAATATGATATATTTACAGTTACTAACGTGGCTTATAATAAACCAACCAACCAAAGTTCAACCTATGTTGGATTTAGCGGGGACACTAGATCTTTACCATCTCATGCTGTAGATGGTAATACTGATAATCATTGGGAGGGTGAACACTGTACACATACAGCCGATAACACTGGTAGTGACTGGTGGTGTGTTGATCTACAACAGATTTATAATATTGACAGCATCAAATTATTTAACAGAGATAGATGTAAGTGTAGAGAAACATCCTGAAACAACCTAACTACAGCCCATGATTGTTATGCAATATTAACTTTTAACAAAAGGGCATTTTTCAGAACTTGTTTCCGTGAAACAATATTACCCCTCTGGGATGGAATGGATGATATGAATATATCCTTCGTATTTCCTGCGTGCCGTAAGAGGCGACTAAAAGGATCCCTGTAATGGGGCAACGTCTTTGTCGTGTCTGTGGAGAGTGGAATCCTGGTGATTGAGTGGGGATTTGGCTTGCGAGTCCTTCTTTGTACCACATTACTTTGTTCTTGTATCGTCAGTTTTATTAGGAATTATTGAATAACGTTGTATCATTATTTCATACAGTTAATATTTACCTTATGAATTGGAAACAAACATAACGGATTACTGCATTAGTGTCTTCTGGAATGCCCCATTAATAAAGACGTGACAATTTTAGTTTTTATCAGTTCATGCTGGAATAACGCGAAGAAGGATAAGTGTCCAAACCCGCTCTCTTACTGAAACGATAATTTAAACTAGTCCTCCACAGTCATAAAATGATTTTAAAAAAAAATTCAAAACTGTTTGTTCCATTGCTGGATTGACTTATGATATTTGAGTTATATGATATATGATATTTCAATACAGCAGCATGACAACCCTTCGTTTATTCTGAGGTCTTCCCTAAAACTTCGGACAGTGATTTAAGGTATTAAAAACGGTGATAGTAGTATTGTTTACAATGTAACCGTTGATAGTCTCGTTTTTCACGCAATTAGGTTTTTTTTTGCAATATTCTGATATGCACTGGTTAATTATGTGTAAAAATTTCTTAAGTCATGACGTAACGTTATGTAAAAAGTGTGAAGCTCTGTTTAAACCCGAATGACATTGTTACGCAGTTAGTCATTGGTTGTTAATCGGACTATTGACCAGTCATAATTTGGAACAGAAATTGGCTTTCATTGCGGCAGTGGTTGGATGGGATTAGATCTATTGAAATGGAACGCTGCGAGAAGTATGCTTGTTTCATTGACGCTCAAATATAGGCCCTACGATCAATTTGTTATGTTGTTTAACATGTACAAGATATTGCAATAATGTAAATTGTTATACAACATCCTATATAATTGTTTTAGCAATGGTTTTGATTTGGTATAGGTTTGAAGAGGGTAACAGAGGTTATAAAGAATATTTTATATTTTACAGTTCAAGAAAGATTGAGTGGATTTGAGATAAAGATAAGTTCTGGTGATCAGTGCAATGAGTCAGGATTTAATTCAGCTACATCATGTCATAATGATACATCACCAACAGCCCAGTCTATATATAATATAGAAAGCTGTGATCAACAACAATCTATATCAGCTAGAACTGTTTTTATCAGTGTTAATAATGAGGTGGTTACGCTGTGCGAAGTTCAAATATTTTCTGGTAAGATATGATATATAACATCACTGATAAAATACAACATATAACATCATCAACAATATTTACTGGTAAAATATACAATATAACATATACTATTCAAAACAAGTAGGGGATATTTGATTTTGGGGGCATAATACTAAAATATGCAAATGACTACGAAAAAAGTCACTATAGAACCTAACAGAAGAAACATTTCCAGTTACATGTGACGCCCAAACGCACCAATAGCTACCGCATGGAATGCAGGTGATGCTTGGGATCATCATGGGGGTCCAACCCAATATTTGCACGACTCTGACTTTGAATGTTACAGTCATTGTGGCATTGAATTCCAGGGTGGAAACATCAGTTTAATTGTTTTAGTGACCAGAAAACAAATTTTGATATGCGTCGGCTTACCCAAAATGAAAGGTTACGTGCCCTTGGCATGCTACAGATCGGCACAACACAGGCGGTTGTGGCGCGGACGATGAATGTTTCTCAGTCTGTCATAAGCAGGCTATGGTCCAGATACCGTGATACACAATCTGTACAGGACAGACCACGCTCAGGTCGACCAAGGGCGACAACTCAAGCCCAGGATCGATTTATCCGTACCTTGGCCTTGAGAAATCGTGTCATCACAGCAAATCAGATCAGCGCTCGTCTTCAAACAGACACTGGTGTGAGATTGAGTGGCCAGACGATTCGGAATCGACTGCATAGGGGTCACCTTCGCGCCCGACGTCCTCGCGTGATCCCTTGTTTGAGAGATCATCACATTCAGGCAAGACGTCCTTGGTGTAGGGATCGTCAACACTGGGATAATCGACGCTGGAGCAATGTGATGTTTTCAGATGAGTCAAGGTTCACTGTTGATTTTTTGGACAGACGTAGGAGGGTGTGGCGTCGTCGAAACGAGCGCTTCCAAGACGTTAACGTCATCAGACATGATCGATTTGGGGGTGGTTCTGTTATGGTGTGGGGAGGCATCACTGTTGCTGGAAGAACGGCTTTACATGTTGTTGCAGGGCGTGTTACAGGCCAGTACTACCGGGACGACATCTTGGCAGTCCATGTTGTGCCGTTCGCACGACGTCATGGCCGCCGTTTCATCTTCCAGGATGACAACGCAAGATGTCACAGGGCCAGGATCGTTACAGGTTACCTCCAACAACAGAACATCACCACATTACCTTGGCCAGCACTGAGTCCCGACCTCTCCCCCATCGAGCATGTCTGGGACATGCTTGGACAGAGGTTACGTCAACGTCAACAACGTCCTGCCAATGTCCAAGAACTTGCTGCTGCGTTGCAACAGGAATGGGACAATCTGGACCAAAATGACCTTAGACGTCTCATTAGGAGTATGCCACGTCGGATCAATGCTTGTTTGGCAAACAGAGGAGGATTTACCCGTTACTGACTTGGTTGTGATGCTGTGGTAACTTTGCTGTTTGACCCCGGGTATCATTTTACCCTTATAATGGTCAGTCTGTGCCTTACTTAGTCTAACGATCATTTGGAATAAATCGATGAATGTGAACTTCATTTCATTTTGTCATTTGTTTCTTCGTCAGTTTCATTAGGTGACTTTAATAACACTTAAAAATCAAATATCCCCTACTTTTTTTGAATAGTACATCATCTACAATATTTACTGGTATAAAATACAACATATAACATCCATCATCATCTTATAACATCGTGTCATTGATAAATAGAGAATCTCCTACGAGTCTTTTTTTATATAAAAAAATATCAACACAAGTCAATAAAGTCAAAAAACGAGGCTCTGTCGAGTCTTTTATTTTTACTTTATCGACGAGTGTTGATATGTTTTGATATAAAAAAAGACGAGTAGGAGATTTTATTTATCACCCAATCCTTCCTTACATGCACAAATAAATAAATATAATTCTTTGCTATAGATTTCTCTTTTACTGAACCTGATTACATTACGGCGTAGTGATACACCATTTTTTGACAGCAATTCAACCATTGCAAAGACCTTAATTTATATTGACCCAGTGTTTCCATCAAGGTCAATTAAATAAAAATAGTTCATTTTTAATAAGAAAGTGGTTACTTTTAATAAAAAAAAATTACCTGTTCTTTGAAAATAAAAAAGTAATTCCTTTTTGATTGACCAAGATTATGAAGTTTATCAGACAAGTGATATCTAGTGTAGAATGTATTATTAGGTGATGAAAAGTCGTTATATGGCTGTAAAAGAGCTGAATTGTGTGGAGCATGGATGCGTACATTTTAACACGCACAAGTGTTGATGAGTTAAGTTGTGACATCATCTCGACATCAAGACCAGAAAAACATTAAATCTCAACCTATGCTCACTGTTGGGGTATTTTTCTTCTTGGGGCCCTTAATCAATAACTAATAACATTTGGAGATTTGTTAACACGTGAATTAGGAAATCACGTCCTACTAACACACTATAAGGTTAGTCTCAACACATTGCCAGAGCCACCCGATAGATTTCACCTTGTAAGGACCCAACATTACATAATAAACGGCATCTATAGACCTTTAGGTTATACACAATAAGCAATCGTCTTATCTAAAATAATTATTCATAAACAAAAACATTATTATTTCCATCCAAAGTTCATAATTCTTTCTATTGATTTCATGTCGCCATCTTCTCATTAATCTTCTGTCGACGTCACGACCATTGTATCTGTGTTAATCGTCCAGGCTACTGTACATAGAACACGTTCATTCATTAGGTTTGGTCAATGTAAGTAAAGATACTCTACAGCTATATCCGTGTCGGCTGGCTAGTTTGTTTTAAATCCAGTGTTAAGATTAAATTAAGTTTATGTTATGGCAGTGTTTTATTAATGCTGGTTAACGATACTGTAATATTAGCATCAGGGTCAAGTGTCTGATTCAAAGAACAATGCCAATGATATTTAAATAAGGCTTCTATATGGAAACACGTAAAGGTTTAAAACTACTCCAAAAGCAACATTGCTTGAGGTTCCTTCAACATTTTCGCAAATGTAAATATGATTCCTTGATTAATTAAAGGAGCTAAATTTGAAAGGCCAAGGGTTCTTTTATGTGTTCGCATTATATACGTGGACTAACCTCGATTTAAAGGAGCTTAACCTCTATCAATAATATTTGAAATTAAACACACCCATTAAAATTCAATTTCGATTCATTTAAATTAATATTGATGATGTTACCTTATCAACTATTAGGACACAGTAATCATTTTAAAACCAGTACACGAGTCGTGTATTCTACGGATATAATTGTTGCGGGTGCAATTTGTAATAAAAAAAGGGAAACACGTTCCAAAAGACAGCACAGAAGTAATAACAAATGACTGATACACGGACGACAAAATAATAATTAAAAGAAGCCCGTGTAGAATGGACTAATCAGGCACAAACGACTGTCGTTGAATTACGACTGTTCGCCTAATTAATTATAAATTACAATAACAATGTTTAAAATAGGGTGTACACACTCATATTCTCGTTTATATTCAGAACACCTTTAATTTACAATCGTTCCTTGCATTTTCATTTTTGATATATATTAGCATGTTTGTTTTAACATGTATATATTCGAACCAAATTACACTTCCATAATATTGAAATACCAATTACATCTTTAGTAAATTTAATACATGTCTTTGATTGATAGTAAAATAAGATGTATGAAAAGAAGCCAGCTTTAATAGGCATTTGTGTTTTTTTTTTCAATTCAACATATCTTTTTAAATACTGAACGGATTTTGGTTTGATGTTACTTTTAGAGATTCAACTTTTACAAAATTGTTCATTGCAAGGGATTCCTCAATGACGTTGAAAGGATATAAACGTATAACTTTAATTTGGCATTGATTTCTTGATTGTTAAGTAAACAAATGTAATTTTGAAGTAGCTTCAAATCCCAAGACTGTCAGCATATTCCATAGTATCTTCACACCCAATTTTATACTTATATTACACAGTGAACAAAGTTTGGTGTTTTTAAAGGCATGTGGCTCTATTCTTTCTTTTTACCCTTACATAGACGAAATTGGGCATAAAAGGACATAGTAATGTAATAAAAATATTAGTTAGAATTTCTAAAACATTTATTATAATTTCTAATCAGTTATATTTGGTGAGATACGCAAGAAGTCCAAATTGAACGACAGTCATTTATGCCGAATTATTTCATTTTACACGTTTGTGAATCAGCCATTTTAAAACACTTCCGCATATGTTTTCTTTGTTTATTACAAATGACGCCCAGAGCCATAGAATACACGACTCGTGTACTGATTATAAAATATTCATTGTGTTTTAAATATTAGATATTAGGATCCCATATTTTTACGGTAACATAGCAATATCAATATTGATTTAAATGGATCAGTATTGAATTCTAATTCTTGTTTATGACTTGGAATATTATGATTAGCCCCTTTAACACATATCCACAGGATTGTTACTAACAGAATCTGTAAGAGAACCGCACCATACGAAACTAAATAGAAAACCCCCGGCAGTAGTTGGCCAGGAGTATAAATAGACCGATAAATAATGATACGATAATTGCAAGTTATCATCTAATTACAGCACAATGTAATGATGGATAATACAATACATCAAGTTCTACATGCCAACCTCGTAATGTATATTATAATAATAATATAAAATCTATTTTACAGATCCAATACAATGTAATACTGGTTACTACAGTACATCAAGTTCTACATGCCAACCTTGTAATACGTGCCTTAATGATAAATGTGATCCTGATACCGGTGTTTGTACTGATGGATGTGAAGCTACATATTATGGTGATAAATGTACATCACTGTGTAGTGACAAATGTACAAACAGTAGATGTTCTACCACTTCTCCATCTTCACAACTACAATGTACAGATGGTTGTGTTGATGGTAATACAGGTCCCTACTGTCAATCATCATGTCCTGCTAACTGTAGAACATGCCAGCAATACGGGTCATCATGTAATGAATGTAATCAAGGCTGGTATGGTACAAAATGTGAATCTCAGTGTAGCGATGGATGTGTAAACAATATGTGTAATAAACTGGCTGGGACATGTGTATGTATAGCTACATATTATGGTGATAAATGTACATCCCCGTGTAGTGATAAATGTACAAACAGTAGATGTTATAATCCTTCTTCACCTTCACAACGCCAATGTACAGATGGTTGTGTTGATGGTAATACAGGCCCCTACTGTCAATCATCATGTCCTGCTAACTGTAGATCCTGCCAACAAGACGGGTCATCATGTAATGAATGTAACGAAGGCTGGTATGGAACAAACTGTGAATCTCAGTGTCCTGGTAATTGTGTCGGCGGGTGTGGTAAGATCGATGGTAGATGTAATGACTGTAAACCTGATACAGCTGGTCCATACTGTAACATTACTTGTGGTACAGGGTGTCAACCAACAACAGACCTCACCGAATGTGATAGAAATGGTAAATGTAAAGACTGTATTATAGGAAGATATGGTAATGGATGTGATTTGAGCTGTAGTACAGGATGTGATGGTGGATGTGATAGAGATACTGGTAGATGTACTACTTGTATTGTAGGAAGATATGGTAATGGATGTGATTTGAAATGTAGTACAGGATGTGATGGTGGATGTGATAGAAATGATGGTAAATGTACGTCTTGTATTAAAGGTAAAACTGGAGACAGGTGTGATATCAACTGTAATAATAATTGTACTGTTTGTAATCAGGATAATGCCAACTCTTGTACTGAATGTAAAGATGGAAGATGGGGATCATCATGTAATAAACTATGTAATATTAACTGTAAACCAGTAGTTGGTACAACTGTTGGTAAATGTGATCAGATAACAGGAAATTGTATCAATGGATGTCTACCTGGTAAAATAGGATCTAACTGTATAACAGGTAATTATTAACAACACATTTTGTTTCACATAATATAACGACTTTATTTTTATGTCGTTATAGGTACAATCTCTAAATTAATTGGGGGTTGGATGACCGAATTGTTAGCACGTGCACGCTGTATCATAAGGTCTATCAATGAGTCAACTGGCGTGGTTTCGATTCCACAGTTGTATGGTGACAAGGAGTAGAATCGCCTGTCCAACCTCGTGGTTTTTCTCAGGGTCCTCCGTTTCCTTCCACTGCTAAAGAAAGAACCCAACGCGCAAGCAAATTATTGAACTAAATTGAACCATATGTTAGTCCCGAAATGACCTAGTTTGTGTCGAGTGGACGGTAAACCCCATCCCCATAGGTTTAAACTATACACGTGGAAATATTTGAACGTATTATCTCTTCTATAACACTTAGCTTTTGAACCATAATAGTCGTGACGTATAACACATAATATTATATAATACAAATATTTATAACAGGCCGATATAAATATCGGTATTCATTATTATCACACCAAATGGATTGAACTTCTAAAATAATTGTCTTGTATTTACAGATTGTGAAGCAGGGAAGTACGGTGAAAACTGTGAAAGTAAATGTGGTAACTGTGCTCAGAATACTGTATGTGATGGTGTTAGTGGTACTTGTGGACTTAATGGTTGTGCTGATGGTTTCCATGGCTCAAGATGTCAAGGTAAGCCACATTATTCACAAGATACATTTATAATATCGAGAAACTCACATCAATCTTGAAATATTTTAGTTTTAGTAAATGATGCTATGGTTAGGTATTAACTATTCCCTGGGAATTCCACTTCAAGTTAAAAATGGTCGATTGACTTTAAAATCTAATTCTGTTTCACTAATGAGATTAAAAAATCTTTTGATCGAATGACATCATATAGTCCAACCATGTAATACAGTGTGCTTAAATTACACTATTCACTGTGTTAGCTTGCACTTTATGATATATCCCCATCATACAAGATTTAAAGCTGGGCGAATATATTTCTGGATAAGCCAGATCCACATGAATACATGTATTTTAGTTGTTGAAAAGTCAGTGGTACTATTGTTTAGTGCTGGAATTAATACTTTAATGTTTTATAGAGGGAGTTGTTCTTTATTATATACTATTCAAAAAAAGTAGGGGATATTTGATTTTTAAGTGTTATTAAAGTCACCTAATGAAACTGACGAAGAAACAAATGACAAAATGAAATGAAGTTCACATTCATCGATTTATTCCAAATGATCGTTAGACTAAGTAAGGCACAGACTGGCCATTATAAGGGTAAAATGATACCCGGGGTCAAACAGCAAAGTTACCACAGCATCACAACCAAGTCAGTAACGGGTAAATCCTCCTCTGTTTGCCAAACAAGCATTGATTCCAAATGATCGTTAGACTAAGTAAGGCACAGACTGACCATTATAAGGGTAAAATGATACCCGGGGTCAAACAGCAAAGTTACCACAGCATCACAACCAAGTCAGTAACGGGTAAATCCTCCTCTGTTTGCCAAACAAGCATTGATCCGACGTGGCATACTCCTAATGAGACGTCTAAGGTCATTTTGGTCCAGATCGTCCCATTCCTGTTGCAACGCAGCAGCAAGTTCTTGGACATTGGCAGGACGTTGTTGACGTTGACGTAACCTCTGTCCAAGCATGTCCCAGACATGCTCGATGGGGGAGAGGTCGGGACTCAGTGCTGGCCAAGGTAATGTGGTGATGTTCTGTTGTTGGAGGTAACCTGTAACGATCCTGGCCCTGTGACATCTTGCGTTGTCATCCTGGAAGATGAAACGGCGGCCATGACGTCGTGCGAACGGCACAACATGGACTGCCAAGATGTTGTCCCGGTAGTACTGGCCTGTAACACGCCCTGCAACAACATGTAAAGCCGTTCTTCCAGCAACAGTGATGCCTCCCCACACCATAACAGAACCACCCCCAAATCGATCATGTCTGATGACGTTAACGTCTTGGAAGCGCTCGTTTCGACGACGCCACACCCTCCTACGTCTGTCCAAAAAATCAACAGTGAACCTTGACTCATCTGAAAACATCACATTGCTCCAGCGTCGATTATCCCAGTGTTGACGATCCCTACACCAACGACGCCTTGCCTGAATGTGATGATCTCTCAAACAAGGGATCACGCGAGGACGTCGGGCGCGAAGGTGACCCCTATGCAGTCGATTCCGAATCGTCTGGCCACTCACTCTCACACCAGTGTCTGTTTGAAGACGAGCGCTGATCTGATTTGCTGTGATGACACGATTTCTCAAGGCCAAGGTACGGATAAATCGATCCTGGGCTTGAGTTGTCGCCCTTGGTCGACCTGAGCGTGGTCTGTCCTGTACAGATTGTGTATCACGGTATCTGGACCATAGCCTGCTTATGACAGACTGAGAAACATTCATCGTCCGCGCCACAACCGCCTGTGTTGTGCCGATCTGTAGCATGCCAAGGGCACGTAACCTTTCATTTTGGGTAAGCCGACGCATATCAAAATTTGTTTTCTGGTCACTAAAACAATTAAACTGATGTTTCCACCCTGGAATTCAATGCCACAATGACTGTAACATTCAAAGTCAGAGTCGTGCAAATCTTGGGTTGGACCCCCATGATGATCCCAAGCATCACCTGCATTCCATGCGGTAGCTATTGGTGCGTTTGGGCGTCACATGTAACTGGGAATGTTTCTTCTGTTAGGTTCTATAGTGACTTTTTTCGTAGTCATTTGCATATTTTAGTATTATGCCCCCAAAATCAAATATCCCCTACTTTTTTTTAATAGTATATTACTGCGTATTATGCAGGAAAATCATATTGAATTTTACTATTCTATATAAACAGACATCTATAAACACGTGACTTCAATCCGGGTATTTACATTGTTGATTTTATAGTCCTACTTTGCTGCACCGACTGGTATCATAATATGTTCCTTCTTTTCTGTTCTTGATCATTCTTATCTAACGGGTCCCCGGGTCCATGCAGTTTGACTTCAAAACCAGACTGATGCTGTCAATCAAAACCATCATTAGCTAAGTCCTCGCAGCTCAAATTATGTCCAAACCATATTAATTGATAAATGCTAATATGACTTTATATGTCAACAGAAAAGATAGTGGAATGTACCAGTATAAGTCCTATTGTAATTGGAATTATTGGTGTTCTGTGTGGTATAGTAGGCACTGTAGCTGTTGGTGTATCATATCATTTCTACAAGAAAAGGTAATTTCTGTTAATTATCACATATATTATTGTGCTATCATATTTTTAATTAACTGTAAACGACAGTTAATAGTATATTGTATGTTCCTTAACAATGTTACTTAATCCTAATAACATATAAGTAATGTAACTTTATTTGCAATGTCATTATTATGTATTATTGTACAATATAAAAAATCATACCCATATTTTCAAATTACTCCTCCCTAATATCAATAAGATATAATTATTCAAACGTCATTATGATTTATTATTGTACCAGAAGAACAGTTATAACCATAGGTGTTTATTTCCGGTTTCATTTTATTGCACTCTAATGTGTCATTAACATATATTTCAGATGTCAATCAAGTCAGCCGAAAGCAGAAAATGATCCCAATTATGTTTACTGTAATACAGATTTAAATCCGACTACTTCTACAACAGATGATACATTAACCACTGGATATCAAAATGTTCCAACTAATACACGTAATGTAGACTATGTAAACCAGTCGTTTAATACAGAAGACAATACAAGAAATACGTATGATACATTAGATCCCACACCAGATAACACACAGCATACATACACTACTTTAGGTTCTAACAAAGTCAATAAAGCAAAACACTAACTCCTGATATAAGTACTTTATATGTCTACAGGACCATTCTGTTGATGCTATACTATATCAGTGTTCATGATATAATGATACAACCGGACAACGGATCCTAGTACATGATGACGATATTGGAGATAATTAAATTTAAAGAAGGTTGTTAAATGAGGCAACATGACAGACGATCAAATTAAAGGTCCATTATTCAAAGTAAATGAAAATGAGCACTTGGACTGTTTTTCTTAGATAGCAATATAGAAGATCAAAACAAACAAGTAGGTCAAATAATCTTTGGACTCGAGCTTAGCGGATACAAATCAAAAACGCTTATTTGTTTTCAAACTTCCGGTAATTGGCTTCAAAAGTTTGTCGTATAGCGGTATATTTATCTTAGCAATCTACAGAAATCCATCATTTATAAATATAACATGTATTTATAACTATATGCATAAAATGTTGCTTTGTCTCGAAATCAATATTAAGAAAATATTCTGCTATATGTTATGGCTGATATCAGATTATTATTTTTTTTTAAAAAATATATTTTGTATAATCAAATGTGACAACCATGGTGCAAATGGTAGCCCTGGGATATATGTATATATGAATGATTAAATAGAACTGTTTAATTTGTAACACGTGATATATTTGTATATTTACCTAATCAAAACGTATGATAATTACATCAATTACACCTAATTAAAACGAATAATAATTATATTAATTACACCTAATTTTATATACATTACAAATATTTACACCTAATTAAAACGTGTAATAATTATATTAATTACACCTAATTTCATATAAATATTATACCTAATTAAAACGTATGATAACTATATTAATTACATCTAATTTTATATAGATATTTAGATTGGAACATGCCATCATTATAAAAATATATATATATAACACGATGGCTAAATAAAATATTATAAAAAAAAAAAAGGCTGTTGTTGGTTTCTTAGTATCGACACGGATTGAAGAGTGTAGACCTGTGAAGTGGGTTTTTTTAGGTTAGGACGGGGTGTGGTGGGAGGGGGGGGGGGGTCGGTGTGGGGGGGGGATATGGTGTGTGGGATATAAACAGCCTTTGATAAACAATCACAACATGTTCAACTGTCAAGCTTAATAGCGGAGATCATTGTCCCTTAATGCAGGTATAGCTACACTTGGCGTGAACTCAATGTAACCTCTACACACCTGCCTATAAAGCGAAATATCTTCCCCCCCTACCCTCCAATAAACAATTCGTGGACCCCATACCCTCGTTACAAAAGTCAAACACGATCAAAGAATATAACACCTGCATACCTTTTTTATTATTCATAACCTCATTGTTCAGTCAACAATAACCATATTCAACCTATAAATAGAACACCTGTGGAATGCTCTGACGTCAGACCTTTGGAATGTGTGACGTCAGACCTTTGGAATGTCTGGAATTCCAAAATTGCTTCAAAGTACCCTTCCTACTACTTTAAAACGTATGATAACTATATTAATTACATCTAATTTTATATACATATTTAGATATTGTTATCAACATCAACTAATCATGATTTTTTATTTGTAAATTCTGTGTATTTGTTATTTCAAATGCGATAATGTATGTGAGTTTCAATTCCTGTCATTTCACCCTCATATATATATTAATAAAACATTTAATATCTTGGAGAAAACTCCACAATTTGTGAGTCTGATGAAGAGTTATACGTATAAGACACGTTTGCAAATTCTAAGTTGTTGCTAAATGATGATCTTGAACCATTTTTTGTAATACTATAGGGCCTATATACTGTAGAGGTTATTTAAGTTCTCTGGGAGATACTCAGGTTAATGTATTGAAGTAGTTAACTAGTACCAGTAACAAGGAGAACTAGGCTAACAAGGATATGTCCGGCAATGACATCATAGTCTGTTAATCAATGATTTAGACACGTGGACACCCGCCCTCCTCGGTGCCCATATAAGTTCACACTGTTGAAATTTAGGGTAGCTTCTGTGCAGCTGACCAATCAGATAACGGTGTACCGGGCCTCTTTGCCGGGGGTCAGTACATGACTTTGGCACCTATCCTCTTTATAATGAACGTGCGGGATTTAAGTTTCTTTAGGCATCATTTCGTAGTTTCAGAAGGACGCTCGCACAGCCTCCTCGAATGAGAGGCTGAGAAACATCAGCGTAAAACACAAGCTAGGGGTAGAAAACTTCTGTTTAGCATATTTTTAATATCATAGCTGTGTGTGTAGTTTCCTGTATATAACCGTTGTATTTTGGGTGTTACAGAGATATAAAAACATAGTTAACCAACAAAGTGTTTCGATGCCAATTGATCAGTGAAAATAGTTTTATACACAGCGTGAAAGTCCTGATTAGATAAGTGCCATCCTAGTATCACGGGCCGTTTTCTGGGAGTTCCTGATTTGATAGTCACATCTGGCCCCATATACTTTCCTGGTTTGTGGTGATGTAGTGGATGAAACGAATGTTAAATTCTGGTCCAGATATGCACTAAAAATCACCAATGACACATCGATTTTTCAAACACTAGGTCATTTCGGGACTAACATATGACTAACTTTTATTTCATTAATTCGCTTGCGCTTAGGGGTCTTTAGCAGTGGGAGGAAACCGGAGGACACGGAGAAAACCCACGAGGTTGGACAGGCGACCCTACTCCTTGTCACGTACAACCACGGAATCGAAACCACGCCAGTTGATTGAATGACAGACCTTATGATGCAACGCGCGCGCGTTAACCATTCGGCCACTCAACCCCCGCACCTGGAAAAAAACACGATTGTGGGTTTTACAGTTATTAAGACCAATGAGAAACTTTACAAGAAAAGATCTCCCTTTCACTCCATTTTATAAGTGACAATATAATATAGAATTAGGTGTACAATTTTATTATAATCTATAGAAACGAACCCTTTCACGTGTTAGATATTTCATATAACCTAACAATCGTTTAATAACAGTTACACACAATAAAAATACACAATAAAGAAATCAATCGATAGTTTCCATGGGTTGCTTATATAATGGAACAATGATAGTCTTACACCACGATTATAGATATTTACAAATCTGTAAATATGTTTTAAATAGTGGTGCTGTCCCCAGAGAGAGAGAGAGAGAGAGAGGGAGAGAGCGGGGGGGGATTAACGTCCATTTGACACAAACTAGGTCATTTCGGGACTAACGTCAAGACCGTATGGTTCAATTGTATTTCAATAATTCGCTTGCGCGTAGCGGTCGTTAGCAGTGAGGGCACGGGCGGATCCAGAGGGGGTGGGTGGGGGGTCCAAACCCCACCCTGCTCAGTTACATAAAAAAATTTAATGCCTTGCATCAATGAAATTAAATCACAATGTGTTCCTACATCATTACAAAAATGATTTGTCTCTTTAAAAAGCTCAATTTGTATGTATCCCTATGTAATTTAGAGACGATGATGACAGATTTCCTTAACAGGAACCTGGCAAACCCCCTCCTGCATAAATTCCTGGATCCCCCCCTGGGGGAGGGGGGGCGGAAGACCCGGAGAAAACCTACGAGGTTGGATAGGTGACCCTATCGGCCAGCCACCCCCCCCCCCCCCACACGTTTTGGGACACAATAACCCTCTTTCTAATTGAGCTAGAATGTTCAAACTTGGTGTAGGTGTTTATTAGGTGAATGCCTTGGGGGAGTTCGAAGATGATAATGTCTGCACTTCAAAACCTTGACTGAGTTCGATCAGAATAAGTATATAGATAATCAGTTTTGATAATCTTTTCCAAAAGATACATGTTCAATTCAACATGTATTATACAAGAGCCAAATCTGCCTGTTGTTATCTAAATTATGAATTAGACATTAATTAATTTATCCATACCATAATCAACCGTCGATGCCATCGTTATCCTGCGATATTTAGTGCATTTGAACACAAATTGTGATGGATAACTTAAAGTTAAATTGGATAATCGAGACTTTGTTATTATCGTACCAACGTTAGTAATGGCGATGGAGGCTGACCTAAAATTAAATCGTTGATATCTCTGTTCAGATTAAAGCAATTTGACTGAAATTTTCCAGCATATTTTTTTTCATGATCCATTTTGTAACTATTATAGCGAGAACTGTCAGTTCTTTATCTAATCTTACCTAATGCCTCTTTAATTAATATGTACCATCTATGTTATTTTGGGATGGCGTCGGGGAACATCAGCCTCATTGTTGACTTTTTAAAATAGGAGAAGAGCGGGCGATCGGAATATTTTATTCTGTCTCATTATTGGTTTATTTAAAATACAACCACTGGTAAATATCACTATATGAAAAACTGATCATATCGGGCACTGTATAAACTGTCGAAATATGGTCGTCACTGGTGACAGTTTTCTATTTTTGAATTGTGAGATTTCCTCTTATCGTTTCGTATAACAACTTTCCATCTTCAACGGAATAATCAGTGAAATGAAATTCGCCTGTGTGTCTATAATCGCTCGTTGCTTCAGTCAGTTATATAGAAGGACAACCCGTGTTTGTCATGTTTGTCGTCACTTCCCGTTTAATCAAGTGTTTTTTACACATCTCCCGCAGCAATGATCTCTGTTTTAAAATTATATTTGGAATGTATTTAAGCAGTTCTATGTAATAATGACTGACACCAATATTGTCCTTTAAGCATCTCAGTAACTGCACAGTATCTGTGACATTACTTGGTTAAACCTGTAACATGTCTTCTCTTAATTCATATTGTATACCCTGACAAGGAAAGCTGTATAGTCGTTCCGATGGGACGAAAAACGGAGGTTCCGTGTATACAATGGCATGCATGTAAAAGTTTCAATGGCTGTTGGAATTCGATATAAGAGTAGGCCATAGTGCGGCTGCCTGGGCAAAATGTCCTCCATAGCACACTAATTCGCAGAACAGCAGGACGTTAAAAATCATTTCATTTCATAGTGCATACGTTTTAATATTAATTTCTTCATTTTGCATACATTTCTTGTATTTTGTGTCCCGTCGTTCGTCTGCCTGTCAGTCACATATAATGTGGGTAAAACACCACTGGCAGCTCTACGATGAGAGCTTAAAACGTCATTGCAGTGGCTTAAAACGTCATTGCAGTGGCTTAAAGCGTCATTGCAGTGGCTTAAAACGTCATTGCAGTGGCTTAAAGAGAAGGTACTGTTATCGTCTTGTCCCAAATATTAACAATCTGATTAAAATACCGATCTATATTTCGTTTCGTTTTTTTTAATACTATATGAAGATCTGGGAGGTCGCCTCAGGGGTCATGCGAGCGACTTTTGACCATTGGATCGACTTCAGACATTGTTTAATCAATCAGCGGTGACGTTTCTAGGGGTTTACCTACAATTGCATTGGCTAATTCATCACATCAACTAGAACGCCTGTTATATAACAACTCTTCCAGATCCTAGTGTTTGTAGTAAAATGGATCGAGGATTTGTGCTAAAAAACACATATGTATAATAATTTTATGACCTTGATTGATTATTCTCCATTGTCATATTAACTATGGTATGTTTTTTTTTGAAACGCAAATTAAATTGTGTATAAAATATTGTGAGAATAACAGGAAAAGGGGTCTAAGTTCAAGGATAGATTCTATGTCTAAAAGCACGTGATCGGAAAGTTACCATTTCATATTTGGCATGAGTGACCAATCATATAATTAATTACATCATAATTAGCTAACAGATTAATTAATCTGAGAATATACTCATCAAAAAAACAGTAGTGGATATTGAAATGCAAATATCTATGCAGGGTGTTAAATGATAAATAGTCATGGACACTCAACACACTTTTGAGAGTATGTTCATACACGTAGCGCAATACACGTGGGAGGGGTTCATTGTCAAATTTGGAACTTCAAGGAAGGGTTGATGAAAACTGCCGCGTGCTGGTTTATCCTATCCATGTTTGCTTTCCTATCGGTTCTTGCATAATATTTAATGTTTAGCGTATCAACATGATGAACGTCTACGTGCTATTGGCATGGTTCAAATGGGTTCTACCCAGCGAGCAGTGGCCAACATACTTAATGTTTCACAGTCTGTGATCAGCAGACTGTGGAACTGGTACCAAAAACACACAATGTTGATGATAGACCTCGTTCAGGTCGTCTTAGAGCCACTACCCAATTCCAGGATCGAGGAAAAACGGCCAATCAGCTTTCTGTAAACTTGTACCCAGTTACTGGAATTCGAGTTACAGCCCAAACGATTAGAAATCGGCTACATGCAGCCACGAACGCGGGTTTTGCCTCCATTAACTCGCCAGAACATGGAAAACACCCGTCAATGGTGTAGGCAGTGTAGAAATTGGGGTAGTCGTCGATGGGCGCGTGTAATGTTCTCAGGTGAGTCCAAATTTACTCTGGATTTCACCGATAGGCGTGCTCGCGTTTGGAAGCGTGTAAATGAGCGTCATACGTTAACGTCAGACAGCATGACCGATTCGGGCGCCGGTCTGTTATGGTTTGGGGAGGAATCACCATGACTGGCAGATATCATTCAGCCCCTAACCCTAGTTCGAAGCAAAACAGTAACGACGTTAAACTCAATTTCATTTCATTTCATTTCATTTCAATCACAACGTGAAGGTGTTATTAATGTGGGATTTCAGAATGACATTTAAAGATACGTCCTAACTATTTAAGGAATTACATATACAATTCTAGACGATCAAGGGCCGTTCCAACATATGTTGTAAGAAACGATGCACGGGTGATACGTCGGATGTGGCGACCGGTTTAGCGTCTTCCGCTCTTCACGTCTGACAGGCGGCCCATGGTGCTACATGTTGTGAAGACAAGTAAAACGAAATTTTGAATTATAAAATCAGAAGAAAATATTACATCGCTGAAAATGGACGTATTCCACTGACACAAAGGCCTGAGAAAAATGCAGAGAGCAAGAATCAATAATTTTGCAACTAATCATATTGTTAAATCTCAAGGTTGGTATGTCATATACCCTGATTTAATTAATAACACAAAAAAACCGGCGGTGTGCATTTAAACTATTATGGAAGAACGACCAACTTTTTTATCTGAATCTTACATAATGTATCTTTAAAAAGTTGTAGGGGGGGGGGCGGTGGGGGTGGAATGCGCGTTGTATCATAAGGTCTGTCATTGAGTCAGTTTCGATTCCCCGGACGTGACAAGGAGTAGGTTCGTCTGTCCAACCTCGTGGGTCCTCCGGTTCCCCCCCCCCCCACTGCTAAAGACTCCTTATCTAAATAAAATTGCACATGAGTTAATATCGAAATGACTTAATTGTTTGTTTAGAGTGGACGTTAAACCCCATTTCTCGCTCTCTCTCTTGTATGGTATGTCGTGGTATTTAGATATCTGCAGGGATGTATGCCTTACTTTATGTCGGTCAACTTGTCATGTTTTGAATAATGAACTTATTGAGATGTATTCACATTTGTGTGTAGTTTGTACTCTGAAATCCAGGACTACATATATTGAATCAAATTGTTGACGTATGTAGTTCACACCCTGAAAGCCATGGTGTCAAATATTGAACTGAATTTGCAGCACAGAGACTCTGAAACCCAGAGCTACAATAATTGATATTGGTATAGTGAATAATATTGGTAATATTTGTTTGAAATAAAGTCGTGGACAAACCTGTAGATGTTTTTAGTTTTCCATCGTCTTCCAGAATTAAGTTTATTGTAATAACTCTACAATCAGGTGTTACTTTACTGTTTCAAACATCAAAGACTCGTCAAGTTTATTGTAATAAAAAAACACAAGACAATTTATATGGAATACAATCACTGGTTTATACACATATAGCACGACGTTTCGACAAGTATTCTCTTAACGATAAGAGAATACTTGTCGAAACGTCGTGCTATATGTGTATTCACCAATGATTGTATTCCAAATAAATTGTGTTCTGTTTTTTAATGATTTTCGAGGATTTTATTGTAATAGTTCTACAGTCAGGTGTTACTGTTAAAACATCAAAGACTCTACACTCAGGTGTTACTGTCTAAAACACCAAAGAATCATCAACATGAACCATATCGACATTCAGTGTTACATCAACAAAACCATGGCAACAATACTTTATTTTTGTGTTTTACAGGCTATACGGATAACAATACCTTGAGTAATAAGTTATTTGTGACCTGTAGGTAGGTCGTGTTATAGAAATATGTTTTATGATTGTCATGTTCATTGTAGCGTAAATCAAACTGAATGTTATTACATGTACTTGTAATAGAATGTTAAAGAAGACCCAATATCCTACAATATAGTTTAATATACTTCCTTCTTTAAGATTATATTTAGCTGAAATCACAGGCTTTCTCTATTACTAGTAAAGATCTAATCCCGCTTGGACATGTTTAATTTATTGAGCATTATTTTTATGCATAGTTACATAGATAATTGAAACAGTAGGTAAGTCGTAAAATTATATTATAGTATATCATAAAGGGGTATATAGAAATTAGCAAATGGAGGGAATATCGCAAATAAATCGCCACATAAGTTAATATTCAGCAAAACAATTATTCTGCCATCAATACCCATAAGGCCTATCGACGTTTACACCCACCGTGGGCTCTCTGCACGTAAGAGCCAGAGTAATATATCGTGTTTGACAGGGAGGTACGAGTTGTTAACTTGCTGTTATTGCTTACTATCTCATAAAATTAATATTAAAATACGAATCCCTATGGCGGATCCAGCTACTGCACTTCCCATATGACAATATTAATTATTCTGTGTCTATGAAATGAAATGGGGTTTAACGTCTTACTGTTCTGCTCTGATTTGGCTAATGAAGACGGATGTGTCGATGACGCCTGTACATTTGCCCTTTTCGTTTCGTTGGTGTGTGGTGATGTCGTGGATGAAACGAATGTTAAATTCTGGTCCAGATATGCACTAAAAATCACCAATGACACATCGATTTTTCAAACACTAGGTCATTTCGGGACTAACATATGACTAACTTTTATTTCATTAATTCGCTTGCGCTTAGGGGTCTTTAGCAGTGGGAGGAAACCGGAGGACACGGAGAAAACCCACGAGGTTGGACAGGCGACCCTACTCCTTGTCACGTACAACCAGGGAATCGAAACCACGCCAGTTGATTGAATGACAGACCTTATGATGCAACGCGCGCGCGTTAGCCATTCGGCCACCCAACCCCCGCACCTGGAAAAAAAACACGATTGTGGGTTTTACAGTTATTAAGACCAATGACGTGACACTTATCAGTCTTCTATTGTCATCTTTTTATAAACATGGGGTGGGGGGTGGATGGCCGAACGGTTAGCATGTGCGCGCTGTATCGTACGGTCTGTCATTGAGTCAACTAGCGGGGTTTCGATTCCCCCGTTGCACGTGACAAGGAGTAGGGTCACCTGTCCAACCTCGCGGGTTTTCTCCGGGTCCTCCGGTTTCCTCCTACTGCTAAAGACCCCTGCGCGCAATCGAATTATTGAAACAAAATTGAACCATGTGTTAGTCCCGAAATGACCTAGTTTGTGTCGAGTGGACGTTAAATCCCATTTCTTTCTCTCGCTTATAAACATGTTAATTAAAATGCAATTTGAATTCATTTTTGATATGTAATGATGTATTGAGATGACTGTCCATCACAGTGCAATTGTTTGTGAACCTTTATCAGCGATGTTTCATAAACTTAAACGACCTCTAAAAATAAACACACTTCTGAATTTTATTAACATGCTACGTTTCAATACACATACAGGTATCGTTATCAAGCAAATAATGATTAGTTAACAAAAATGGGGTGCAATATGTAGATGAACACTTTGGAAGCCATTTAGCAGATAAAACAATAACAACAAATGAATTATCGTGATGGAACATGTTAATAAAATTCAGAAGTAGTATATCCATGTAAGTGTGTTTATTTTTAGTGAAATCTATTTTTATATGTCTTATAAGGATTATTTAACGACCTCTTGTTGAATCTGTAATGTTCCACAAAGTGCAGTATGTCATCAACTTTTAATCACGCATGTAATGATCACGAATTGTTCCTATACATGGACAAATTGTACAGGAACTTGGCTGCCGTTTACGATGACCTGTGGATGATTTTGGTTCATGAAATTTGAGGACTTTTTCGTATCACAAAATTCGGCCTGGAAATAGCTAACTCACGTTTGCTTTACATTTGAATCCTTAAACAAATAAAAAAAAATCTGGTTTTATCTGCTCGTCTGAGTCAATTATAGGACTTTTTTCTTCTTGTGTTTATTTCCTGGTGAACTTTCTCGGCCAATGCAGGGATTGAACACCCGTGTAATACTATAGGACTTCTTCTTGTTGTGTTTATTTCCTGGTGATCTTAACAAGACTACATCATAAAGATAGTTTTACAACTTTATTGCTAAGCTGTAATGGCTTTGCAGGTTCCTCCTTCTCAATAAAAATGGCTGCTAGGAATTTCTGGGTGAGCTCTGATCCAACTCGCTTCTACACCCTAATTTATACCCCGTAATTTATACCACCTAATTTCTCCAGGTCTTCGATAACCTTGACGTTAATTTCCATCCTATATATGGAATAAACCTCTTTATTTCCCACAACTAAGATATGAGACATTACCTATTTTGGTCTACCAACCATGGGTCAATAAACAGCCCGAATTTGATGGATATTTTGACAATGATTATGATTTAACCAAAATATCACTGGTTTTTTTTTGTATATAACGATATATTCTCGTTCATTAAAGATACATTATGGGAGATTTTTATAGAGAGTTGGCCATTCTTGCTATAACAGTTCAAAAGTAGATGATGAAAGAAGAATATATTGAAAAATTTAGTCAAATTACTTTATGCTGAACATAGTTATCATCGTTGTAATATTTGCCTAGAAATGGTAGCGAATTGTGTCTTCACCTTCGCTGATCGTTTGATTGACAGGCGTTAACTCCACCTGCATATCTCGATTATCAAGTAAAGTTTTCAATGGCATACCGAAACGCTTTACAGCGGCCTCGCTAAGTACAGCCTATCATTTAGCCTCGATCTAACTGACGTATTTTCATCAGGTTACCCCTTATTTGATTTAATCAATTAGTGAAATCCTATTTAAATCCGAGCTGTAGCCGAGCCATCCGTGGTTGATTTTGGTATTGTTGTTTAAATAAAGATCTAATTTATAATTTCTATAACATCTGAAGCCTAAATTAAGACTTGCAATAATCAGATTTAGCTCTTGCATAATGCATGTTTAAGTACGTAAGACTTGACTCTATAGACAGAGTGAAGAAACAATTTTGCAAAGACCCCAAAAATTGTCTCAAGTACCAAAGTGTTACATCAACTGGCGCGGTTCCGATTCCCCGGTTGTACGTGACAAGGAGTAGGGTCGCCTGTCCAACCTCGTGGGTTTTCTCCGGTTACTCTCTCTCTCTCTCTCTCTCCCTCTCTCTTGAAAGCCCTTTTCCCCGCAAATGAGATATTCATTTGATATAATGCTTTATATTTGAATCCCGAATAGATTTTAAAAAAAAACAAAAAAATAAAAAAAGTACTGATTTTATCGCTTAAATCGGTCGTCTTTTGTAACTTGAAAAGTTTTATTTTTCAACTAAAATGATATATTCGTTTTATACAATGACGAAGAGATCCTGTTTAGTCAACAAGGATATATAAAGACAGACAGGTAATACCTGTAAGGTGTATTCAGTGGCGGCGCCAGCCGCCGGTAGTTGGAGGGGCAAAGCTGGGGCAAAGTTAAAGGTTAAGGGGGCAAAGGCACTAGGGGTAGGGGGCCTCCCCCAGAAATGTTTGAAAAACAGGCTGTCGTAAATGCAGCCTGGCAGTATTTCAGGCACTGATCGTTGAGAAAAAGTGTCAAACGAACGGACTTGCGAACCTCGACGAAATCCACTCACCAGCGCCAAAGTAGGGAGTCCTTACGGAGGACCTCCCCCAGAAAATTATGAAAAATAGACTGCCGGAAATGCTGTCTGACAGTATTCAGTAAGTCACCGATCGTCGAGATAAATAGATCTGACCAGAAAATTTTGAAAAATAGACTGCCTGAAATGCTGTCTGACAGTATTCAGTAAATCACCGATCGTCGAGATAAATAGATCTGACCAGAAAATTTTGAAAAATAGACTGCCTGAAATGCTGTCTGACAGTATTCAGTAAGTCACCGATCGTCGAGATAAATAGATCTGACCAGAAAATTTTGAAAAATAGACTGCCTGAAATGCTGTCTGACAGTATTCAGTAAGTCACCGATCGTCGAGATAAATAGATCTGACCAGAAAATTTTGAAAAATAGACTGCCGGAAATGCTGTCTGACGTATTCAGTCGGTCACCGATCGTCGAGATAAATAGAGCTGATCAAATACCGTCTGTCGCCTAATCACTAGTCTATCCGTCTAGATAAATAGAGCTTATCAGATACTGCCTGTCGCAAAATCACTGGTTTATCTGACCAGAGAGGAAAGTGACAAACGTACGGAGTGAGTGAAAGTAAATGAATATTTTCGCCACAGTATTTTGAGAAATAGACTGCCGGAAATGCAGTCTGGCAGTCTGGCAGTATTTTAGATACTGGTCGTCGAGATAAATAGAGCTGACCAGATACTGTTCGTCGCCAAATCACCAGCTTATCCAAACAGAGAGGGAGGTGTCAAACGAACGGAGTGAGTGTTTCAAGTGAATGCATATTCTCGCCGCGTTGAACCTATACCCAAAAACTTTGAGGAGGGTAAAAAGCACTTTTCAAGTGATTCACATTTTATTGATTATAGTAGGTTTACAGCAGGATGGGCTTGTAAGAAATCACTCAGCAGGCTTTACAACATGCAAGTCTATGAATGAGTGGGGATGTGGGATTTAATCACCGTAGGGTATTGATTACCGAAACGTATCACAAATACTTTTTTTTATTTTTCTAAAACTATGGGGGGGGGGGGGGCAAACAGAGGGCAGACCAGATTAATGGGGGGGGGGGGCAAATGCCCCCCTTGCCCCCCCCCCCCCCCCTTGGCGCCGCCACTGGGTGTATTATTTATAATATTATTGGGGGTTGGATGGTCGAATGGTTAGCACGTGCGCGCTGTATCATAAAGCCTGTCATTGAGTCAACTGGCGTGGTTTCGAATAACCGGTTGTACTTGACAAGGAGAAGGGTCGCCTGTCCAACCTCGTGGGTTTTCTCTGGGTTCTCCGGTTTCCTCCCACTGCTAAAGACCCCTACGCGCAAGCGAATTCTTAAAATAAAATTAAAAAAACATGTTAGTCCCGAAATGACCTAGTTTGTGTCGAGTGGACGTTAAACCTCATAACAGTGTTTATGAATACACTTTCCCTTGATGAGATAAATATTGTTCGATTATTGAGATCACTGGCGCGTGTAATAATGTACAAGGAAAACTGTGAAGGTGTGA